CCAGCAGAGGGAACTAGCGAACTGTTTACAATTCTCACTACAGGTAGCCTCCGATTTAAGAGGTATTCCAATTACAGAGTTAGGACAACCATACTTACACTCCTTTTTTTTTTTCAGTATATCTTATCCACAGTAATATGTACTATATATAATGTAGAAACATGCAATTCACTGACGTTATAATTCTCAGGCGTTCGCTTGCAGATGTTGTTTTGTAATTTACTGTTCAAACACTGCTGGATAGATTCACTTTCCTAAATGAAACCAGGAACTGCAGTTGCTTGAAAACATAGACCCAAACGCTGATTGCTCTCTAAAGTTGATAGATTTAGGAAGCAATGAGATGCTACCGTGAAATATATGAGTGAAAAAAGAAAAGGGCCATTCAGAAAACTCTCACTAATTTTCTGACTAGAAACACCATCCCCATTCCCAGGAACAATCCAAATGATCCAGAACCTTCCACGAGTGGAATTATTACCACAAATGTCAAGTGGAATTATTGCCACAAATGTCAAATGCCAACTTTGTCCAATTTCTTCATTGTTGGGGTAAATTTTTATGATTTGGGTATTTTTTTAATATATGTATATATGTCTTAAAATATATCTGTAACTTTATATATAATGTTTCCAATCCCCTAAGACAAAGATCAGATTTATCAACATACTAATGATAAAAGGCAATAATAATGAAAACTAAAAATTAAGGAGTATTTGACTTACGTCAAAACCAACTTGTATGTCGTCAGAAACGAACCCCATGGTAAGTCGTGGTCTACCCGTATACTCCATTATTTTATGAAAACAGCTACAATGAATGATTGCACTGTTTAAGATAACTTAGTGGTAAGTTTCAGATAAAGTAGTCATAACTGAATGATATTCACAAGCAGAATCTGCCCCTCATAGACACAAAAAGGCCCCTTTCCAAACTTATTAACCCTTTCATGACCAAATTGTTTTCTGCTTTGAACTTTTTGCTGATAACATGTGTTTTCAGTAATGGAAGGCATGCTGAAATCAAGGGATTTTTTTTTTTTTTAGGTATTATGGATTTTTATACAATTATGTGGAAAACATATGTCCCAAGTGGACTCTGGTCTACACCAATCCTACTGATTGGTGGAGTGAGGCCTGTTTCTTCAGATTCACACAGTTACACAGGTTCTTGCCAGGCAGTAGCAATGTGCTATAACTGGGATAGCAGTTTCTCTGCAAACCTGAGAGGCTGACAATGTTGGTGGGTGATATAAGTCCCATGGGTCACAAAAGGGTTAAACGTGGAAACCTGTGTGGGAGTCATCATCATCATTCCTTGTATTGTGACTTACTATGTGCCAGGCACTGTCCTGAGAACTTTACTTGTACACCTGCCCTTCAGTTATTGATTATCTCACTATCCAACATTTCACATTTACAATAGTAAAGAATCTACTATTTGATTATTTTGCACATTAATGATTTACATTTGGCATAATAAATACCAAGGTGTAAGGTAAGAGTAATGCTGGCTGTAATGGTTAAGGTCAGCTTGTCAGCTTGGCTGGGCCATGATTCTCAGCAGATTGCCAGTTATGTAATGATGATATTTGGCAATTATGTAATGATGTGGTCATTTTCTATTTTGTGACCTGATGTGATCATCCTCTATTTTTGCATAATGTTGATTTTTCAAATGATGACCTGGTCTTTGGAACGTTTTGGAACGTAGCCATTGGTAAGTGAGGAGTGAGTGTATTAGCTCTTTTAGATCCCATTACAACACTGTGTGGCGGGGGCTATCCATTTTATGGTTGAGGAAGCTGAGGCACAGAGAACTTAAGTCATGTTCCCAAAGTCACCCAGCTGGTGTAAGAAAAGATCTGACACTGAGCAGTAGAGTTTCACAGTCTGCAAATGATGTGGTAGGTGCATTTTTGTTGGAGCCCAGTCAGGGCTGGTTTACTCTCTTCTGAAGAGTTACTTTCCTTGTTTTCACTTCTGCCTCAAATCTATTGGAACAGGAAAAAGAAGTTAAATCTAGTTCAACATTATTCAGAGATATTAAGACACTAGAAAAACTCTCATTTTGTCTGAAACCACTTTGCTTATGATCAGTATTCTATTCTACTTGTATATTATACACAGTTCCTTAAACAAATATTTTCATTACATCTGAACACCCTGAGAACACATTTTCTTCATACAATCTACACCTTTTGCAGTTGACTCTTCGTAGAATATCCTTTAGTGTTATTCTTTGAAAGTAAAAATATTTTCCTCTAATGAAAATATGTGAACTTGGTTTATATAAAATGAAGGCTTGGAAAATTATTTCATGTAGTTTCAGACACTCACTTTCTTAGTATTTTTATTTTATTCATCCTCAAAATTTGTGAGAGCATTCATGAGACAAAATGGTATTCTGTTTCTGTGGAGAATACTCAACTGAAATACAAACTCCTCTGAGGCGAGGTTGTGGTTGAGAGCACTGTCTCTGGTATCAAGCTGCGTAAGTTAAAGTCTGGCTTTGCCCCTCTGTCAATGTGTGGTCCTGAGCAAGCTACTAAACTTGTTTGTGCCTCAGTCTTCTTGTCTGTTGGAAAGAGATAATAATACTAAATACTTCAGGAGGTGAAATACAGAGGGATGAAATTTCAACATTGCTAGTCATATTTCCCATTTCCTTTATGTTAAATTGGAGAGCTCTGGTTACACAGTGGTTAAGGCATTCAACTGATAACCCAAAGGTCAACAGTTTGAACCCACCAGCCACTCCAAGAGAGAAATATGAGTCAATCTGCTTCCATAAAGATTTACAGCCTTAGAAACTCTACAGGGCAGTTGTACTCTGTCCTATAGAGTCGCTACGAATTGGAATTGAGTCACTGGCAGTGGGTTTGGTTTTGTGGTTATATTAAATATGTTCCCGGGTGATTCAAATGGTTTGACTTAAAGGTTAGTGATACGAATCCACTCAGGAGCACTGTGGCGGAAAGGCCTGGCAATCTGCTTCTATAAAGATTACAGCTAAGAATACTGTAGGGAGCAGTCCCACTCTGTAACACGAGGTCCCCAGGAGTCAGAAGAGACTAGAAGGCAATGTTTTATTATTATTATTGTTTAATATTAAATTAATGCAAAAAGTAAGGGGTTCAGAAGGACTCTTCTGAAGCATAAGATAAGATGTGACTCTTTTCAGATGTTTGCAGTGATTAGCCCTAGGGCGGGAGCTCTGGTAGCATAGTGCTTAAGGCACTTGATTGCTAACCAGGAGGCTGGTGGTTCAAACCCACCAGCCACTCCTCGGAAAGAAGATGGGGCAATCTACTTCCTTAGTGATACTGCCTCAGAAACCCAAGGAGGGGTCACTATGAGTCGGGTCTGACTCCACGGCACATAACAATAACAACAACAGCCCTAGGGCATTGTGGCTTCTGACTCTGAGACCTCCTTTCTCTCCAGTCTCCCTCCTGGCTGCCACTCCACCCTTCCTGCCACACCTGCAGCATCATGGTGGTGACTGACACTGGGCCAGGACACTGGTGGTAGGATTTGAGGCTCTGGTTACATGTCCGGATATGGTTTTGCTCATAGAAATGTCAAAATAGTAAACGAAGAGAGTGAGTAGGTGGGGATCTGTGATTGGAAGTGAACTGCAGCAGAAGCAAGAAGGTATCTGGGGGAAGCCAGAGGAAGCGCGTCCAAGATTGACGTGAGCATTCCTTACAATAAATGTGCACTCACCAAATGTTTATCCAGCTCCTCTTACAATCCAGGGAGATACACAAATAAATAAAACACAGCCTCTGTTGTCAAAGAGCTTGCAATCAAACGGGAAAGACAGAAACGTAAACAGATAAGAGCATGAAGTGAGCTAGGGTGAAAGGTACAAAGGTGGCATTCAGGAGGAAGTGAGCACCTCTGCCTGGGCGGGTCAGGGACAGCTTGCTGGGCTTGGACACATGCATTCAAATGGAGTCCAGCATTTATCCCGGGCTCAATTTGAACACCATTTCAAACTACTTGAAGCTCAGATATGGTACTGTTGAAAAGCAGACCCACCAGCCACTCCTCGGAAGGAAGGTTGGGCAATCCTACTTCCGTAGTGATACTGCCTCGGAAACCCAAGGAGGGGTCGCTATGAGTCGGGCCGACTCGATGGCACATAACAACAACAACAACATTCGACACGTAGGAAGAAAGGCCTGGTGATCTACTTCCAAAAAATCAGCCAGCGAAAACCCTACGGATCCCAGCGTCGGTCGCCATGAGTAGTAGTAGGTAGCCTGCTGAAGGGCGGCTAACAATAACGACCACAGTATCTGACCGATTGTTGTTGTTGTGTGCCGTCGAGTCTGCCCCGACTCATAGCGACCCCTCCTTGGGTTTCCGAGGCAGTATCACCACGGAAGTAGGATTGCCCAACCTTCCTTCCCAGGAGTGGCTGGTGGGTTTGAACCGCCAGCCTTCTGGTGAGCAGGCAAGTGTCTTAGCCACTATGCTACCAGAGCTCCCTATGGGGTCAAATATTTAGCCGCAGATGCAACAGTGAATAAGTTGAAACATTAAGAAGGAAAACAGTTGTGAGAGGGTCATGCAAGAGAGAAATGAAGTTATCGAGAGATGCCAGGCCTTCGTTCCCGCCTTCCAGGGCTCGCTGGGTGGCAGCCCAGGACCCCTGTGCGAGCCTTCGCGCCCCCGCGCAGGCGCGGCTTTATCCTCCTCGTGCGCTCTGGGCCGGGTTAGGCTCACCCACCTCAGGTGTAATCTGAACCCGGCCTGTTTACCAGCCGGCCCCGCCTTTCTCTGCAGGCGAGCTCGGGGCTGGCGGGGCAGGTCGGGGCGGGCGCACTCTGAGTCACCGGAATCTAGGTGGGGCCCGGGGACCGCGCCCCCGCGCCCGGCCCTGAGCGTCCTCGCAGGAGCCGCCTCCCCGCGCCCTAGTCCCTTTTGTCCCGGTGCTCGCGCTCGCCGGCCACTCTCCGCCGGCGCCCGTCCCCTCGCTCCTCTGCTCCGCGTCGCCACTGTCGAGATGCTGCGCTGCGGCCTGGCCTGCGAGCGCTGCAGGTGGATCCTGCCCATGCTCCTGCTGAGCGCCATCGCCTTCGACATCATCGCACTGTCTGGCCGCGGCTGGCTGCAGTCGAGCGACCACACCCAGACGTCCTCGCTGTGGTGGAAATGCCCCACCGAGGGCGGCGGCTCGGGGTCCCCGGAGCAAGGCTGCATAAGCCTCATGCAATACGGTGAGTGCCCGCCCGCCTTCGGGGAGCCTCCGCCGGAGACGCCCGCAACGCGGCAGCCGCCTGCTGTTCAGGGACGTGATAGGGTTTCGGTTTGGTTTAATTAATGGGGGCTGGGGAGTGGGGAAAAAGAGGTTTGTTAGAGCAGCTCCATCCAGGCTCCAAACTGGAAGACACTGGCCCTAGTTCAAACTTTATTTTCGTACGGTTTGTCGGTCAAATGTGAAAGACACAGCCACTGAGAAGGTTAGATGAATAAATGTGATACACAAAGCATGCTGTTTTTGGAAAACCTCCTGAAATCTCTTCCCATTTCCCTTTTTCCTCTCCTCTGCTTGTTCTTATGACTAAAATGTCATTATGAAAATGGGTACCTGCCTTAATACCAGTGTATTCCTTTTAACTTGTATCAAGTGGGAGAAACTCTTCTTCCCTTAAAAGGCCCGTTCAGTTAAAGTGTTAGCAGTTATGATTTCAATAGATAGTATTTTACACCTCAGGCTAGTTCCTGTTCTCTTGTTTTATGGGGTGCCCTTTGAGGCGTTTGACTGCTAACCAGAAGGTTGGCGTTCAAGCCCACTGCGGAAGGAAGACGGGGCAGTCTACTTCCATAAAGATTAGCGCCTCGGAAACCAATGGGGGTCGCTGTGAGTCAGAATCTACCCAATGGCGGTGGGTTTGGTCTGATTTGGCTTATGTACAGCATTGCTGTTTCTAAAAAAATACATTTATTTTAATCTCTATTTTTCCAGTATGGAGGTGGCTTCGGACATTGACTTTTACTTACTAGTAGAGTTGACTGAAAGGGGCGTGTTTTTGTCTGAAAGGACATATTTCTTTCACATGGGTACTCCCTGGTTGGGGCTTGATATGGAGAAAGGCCTGTGTCTTATTGTGATTAACAAGGTATTTTGGGGGTTGGATGGTTTAGATATGAGCATAATTAAAAGCCAGTTCAACTGAATGGGGCCTTACCAACTGAATTGAATAAGGATTAAACAGAAAGAAGGAGCACTGGTGGTGAAAGCACTGTCCTAAAGGTTGGCTGTTCGAACCCACCCAGTGACTCCATGGGAGAAAGACCTGGGGATCTGCTGTATAGGAATCACAGCCGGGAAACCTGTGGGCAGTTCTCCTCTGTCCCATGGGTCACTGTTAGGTGGACTCCACAAGCAGAGAGAGACGGCTGCCCTGCCTTGTTCCCTTCCTTGCTGTGATCCTTGATTTCTTTCCCACAAGCCACATCTTCCAAATCTTGCATTTATTTGTGTGTCTGGGGGACCATACAGGGGCTTAGGCGCTCTCCTGTCTCCTACAGAATTGTTTGGAAGTGAGTCTGATGCAGTTTCCCCCCAAAAGGCAGCCTGGTGTTCATTGGGCAGATAATAAAATGCAAAGACTGCACTGGAATCCTGGTTGCCTGAAAGTCTGTGTTTCTCCTGTCCTCTTAAAACACATAAAAGCTGTTTGCCTGCCAGGGTTTCTATTATTCTGGGTCTTTTAAGTGTTTAAAAGGGAATGAAGTTCTTTGAAATAATACAACTCTATTTTCTAGTTAATAGTGGTCTTGAACTCAGTTTCTCTTTGGGGACTTAACTGGTCTATTTGTGTGTTTTTAAATGGCCTATGATAATTAAGGGAGCTCTGGTAGCATAGTGGCTAAGGCACTTGATTGCTAACCAGAAGGTTGGAAGTTCAAACCCACCAGCCACTACTCGGAAGGAAGTTTGGGCAATCTACTTCCATAATGATACCGCTTCAGAAACCCAAGGAGTGGTTGCTATGAGTCGGTCTGACTCAATGGCGTATAACAACAGCAATATGATAATTAAATCAAATCTCACTTCAGCAGGCTAATGCAGACCCAGAGAATACTCCGCTGTCTTCTACACATGAAGTCAGCCCCCCGATGGGGGAGCTGGTGACCAAGCATTCTTCTGGGGTATGATTTGGCCTGCAGGGCTTTGCTGTGACGACAGCCCTGTTGTGAAACACACACAATGTACTTTTTATTTTCTTAACTTGCAGGATGAGCTCACCTTTCTAGGGTGTGGTTGTTCCCACCTCAGACTGACTATGTGCTTTGTATATGGAAGGGAGCAAGCAGGTTTTATTTGTTAGTTTGGTAAATGATTTAAAGGTGGGAGCCTTTCTTTTTTAATTGTAAGGAAAACACAGATCCAGGGTATATCTTGTTTCAAGTTGATATAAAATGTAGTGTTTTTGAAAAGCTCAGATTATCTGGTCTAGTGTGGCTTGAAAAATCTATGATGCAGCAAGACAGATTTGCATAAATGGGTGGTGGCTTTAACGTTTCCATTTAGTTATGTCTGTTAACTTTGACAAAGGTAACATAGTGCTGCTGATACTGTGTTGTTCTGTGCTGTGGAGTCAGCCAGACTGATAGTGACCCCTCCTTGGGCTTCCGAAGTGGTATCACTACAGAAGTAGATTGATCGCCCAACCCTCCTGAGGAGGAGTAGCTGGTGGGTTTGAATCGCCAGCCTTCTGGTTAGCAGTCAAGTGCCTTAGGCATTATGCTACCAGAGCTCCTTGATAATGTGTTAGAAGAGGCTTTTGCTCAAGACCTAGAATCAATTCCTGAGTCTAGCATCCATTCTGTCTTGAGGTGCCCATGGGGAGAAGACAATAGATATGAAGCCGCCTGGAGGGGTAGACCTCTGACCATTGTAGTCAAAGATGAATTCAAGTGCTTGTGATACTTCTGCAACAATTCCTATCGTGGACCTCCTCTTCCAGTTTTAGGAAAGAATACATTGGGAGGATATTTTAAACATTAGCTAATGTAGATATTAAATCCCAGGCAAGTTCCATCTTGTCAGGGTGGAGAATCATGGAGATGAGTTTGAACCACTCCTTATACATATGGAAAGAAACTGGAGAGGTGATGTGGCCTGTTTGAGCTTGACTTGAATCTGAACTAGACGGGAAGGGGATCACTTTTATCAAAGTCACCCTTTGAATACCGCCAAATGCTATGAATTTTTTTTTTTTTTTTACTTTTTACATTAAATCAGCTTGGATAAATCAAAGAACCGGAGCAGTGCATGAAATACTTGGTCATTTAACCCAGTGGTGTTAAATGTACAGGACATGAGTATGAAGTTGAGAGGTTTGCAGTGCTGCATTCTTAAGACTTTATTTTGAGATGATGCTCTTGTGGCTTCTTTTGGGAAGTGACAAAGTATTAGAATATTCTTATTTTATGAAATTAGGCATTAGTAGATAGATACTTTTCCTTTGTGTGTGTGTGTGTTAATGCCCTTACATAGCAAAGTAAAGAGTTGACCACTTTTTACTGAATTTCATAATTAAGAAAATATTGATGTATAGCATAGAGAGTTCAGGAGCTGAGGAGCCAGCCCCGTCCACTCCACACTTGCTGACTCCAACAGTGACCACCCCAGGCAGCCTCAGTGCTTTCATTGACCTGACTCGTTTCCCACTACAAGCAGATACAGACTCTGGATGACTACAGCTAGGAATACATCTATTTCTCATTAAACCCATGACTGAGGTTCTTCCCTTTATTTGGCAACTTAGTTCTGTTCCCTAGACAATGCTGTTTGTTCAAAAATACTTCTGCCCTACCAGCTGAGCTGAAGTGGCTTTCCTGTAAATTCTCCTTTCCAGCCTTCTCCTTCCATCTGACAGACTTTTAAATATTTGAGGGTAGATCCCAAGTTCACTGCTAGTTATCTTGTCTTCAGAGTGAAATTCTGTTTTCCTATCTACTTGCATAAGATTTCACCACTGACTGATTAAATACGGTCCTTTAAAAGAAGACCTGAAAGAGGCCAAGTAGCATGATTCGATAAAAGCACACCGAATCGTACGTGTGAAAAATGTTGACGGCAAATGTATTATCTACATTTTTGCAGCAACCACAGCTATGGTTCTACGACACACACACACACACAGTGGTCAATAGTTATCAGCTGGCCCACTTTCAGGGGCAAACGGCCAGCATGTCAGGAATCTCACACCAGCTCTGGAATGCTCTTCTGTGTGACCCTGCCATTCCTCAGTTAAGCCAGCTCCTTTACTGCCTTCCAAAACTTCTGCAAAGTAGCTTCTTCCTATGTACGTATTTTTGAGGCTTCATTTTTGTGGACGTCTAGATTTTTGCTACTCAGGAGTGTCACTGAGCTGCACTATATGGGAGCTTTGTATACAGTAGTCTCAGGTCTCACCCACTGAGTTAGAATCTGCATTTTAACAAGATCCCCAGGTGATTATAAGTACTTGTGAGAAGCCTTGGTCTATATTGCTGCAGATTGCATCCTAGAAAATATGCGAGTGTTTTTGAATATCTGATACACCCATGCTTGTATTTATTTATTGATAAGATCTTTTAAAAATTTTTTGAATTATGGTATCATATCTGCCTGTGTTTAATATAAAGTACCCGATAGAAACAATATAATGACATCTGACAAAATCTTGGATTCAGTACGTGGGGCCTTCAGTATTGGTAACAGATGATTCCCTTGCTCTGGAAAAGGTACGTTAGTGTCTGCTGGGCATTGAGTAAGGCATTGGGCCCTAGACTGTTCTGGTCTGTGGTGCCCAATGTGAAACGGCTAAAGACTATATATATAGCAAACCATTGAAAGGAGAACAACTAACTTTGAGGTGAAAATTCATAATAGTTTCCAAAATATTGCAATAATATTAAGAATATTAGCAATGATCTATTCACCTTAAAATATAAGTTCGTTTATTCTCTTTTCACAAGTTTTGGTTTGATTTATTATTTCTAGCTTGACATTAAGGTATTTATTTTCACTTTTTTTGCTCTTATTAACATTAATGGTCTTTTCTTCATCATATTATCCTTGTAACATTGTGTTTTCATGTTTATCTTATCTTTGGAAAAGAAGATAATGGCACTCTTTCTTATAGGAAAAAGACAAACACACCCTTAAACACACTTCTTAGGAAAAATCAGTGACCATTGACTGCTTTCTATGTGCTTGATT